ACTATCAAGCGCCTACGGTAAATGGTATGATCCGATTGGTTTATTCCCTGCGGTAGCGGTCCGTGCTCGATTGAATTTGCGTGAGGCATATATTCAAGACCCAGCATGGGATAAGCCAGTTGATGCCAAGCATATCGAAGCCTTCAACAATTGGTGCGCAAGCGTCAACAATGGGTCTCACATCCCTCTACCACGAGCTCTAAGTCCAAAGGAGTTATACATGTATTGTGACTCCAGTAAAAATGCCTGGGCGTGCACAGCACTATGCCCTGAGTATATGCATAATCTTACCGGCACCCCACCCACCTCGGTGATCTATCCTCTGCAGGGCACTGGCTCGGTATATGGTACGGCAATGGCGTCCTGGTCAATCCCCAAAAAAGAGCTTTACTGCCTCTTCAAAGCCGTCGAGCTGATGCTCGCTCTCGGCACAGTCACAGATGAGCAGTATCCAGAGCTAAAGGTGAACGTCAATGGGTTATCCTATCTGACAGTGCCATCGCCATCTACAGATTGAAGGCTAAGCATTCTAAATGTCAAATGACTCCCCTAGAGACACGGTGGCTCGGATTTATCCGAGCAGCGTGCCTTGCCAACAAGTGGAAGGTCGTACATGTGCCGAGTGCAAGTAACTTGGCCGACGGTCCATCGCGAGGTATTCTCCCGCTCACCCCCTTTACGGTTACCTTAGCTGATGCGCGTCAAGTGGTACATGGTTCTCCAGTTGTTCAATACTGCCCCGACGAATCTAACAACGTCAAGTCCGAGCCAACCGCTATTGTTGCTGCAATATCACAAGTTGATGACGAGGACCTACTACCCGATGGTGTGGTGCAACGGTTGCCTATAAACTACGCCGAGATCAAGAAGCACCAGCAGGATGACCCAATCTTGAAGGAGATTCGCGCGTGGCATGAAAATGGTCAAAAATGGTCTGTCAACTTCAAGTTACCTAGGAGCTTCCTCGAGAAAGAAGGGCCCTTATACAAGATCGATGATGAAAATAGGCTATTGTATCGCATCACACTCGCTGACACCAAGGGTGAGGTACAGCCTCGAATCGCCATTGCCCACGGTGGATCTAACACGGACTTCATCAACGCCATTATTGATGCAGCACACAACAAGTATTGTCATCTCGGCTACCCTAAGCTAGCGGAGATTATTGGAGCTATATATTATATACGTCATCTCCAGGCGATGGTCAAGAGACGGTTATCAACGTGTGATCCATGTCAAAGGGTTCACGCACAGATCAAGCACAAGCGCCGGTTCGGGCGTGTCAGATTCAAAGGCACCGCTCCGGGCCAGGTTATGGCTGTCGACCACATGTTAATGACAGATGGCAAGAGTGACTCCCACCCCAATAAGATATTCCGAGCTAT